GGCCGACGAAGACGACGTTTTGGTGGATGCCCTCGCACCAGTGCGTGCTGAAGGTCTTCTCGTTGAGCTCCTTCTGAATGACCTTGCCGATTGGGGGCAGCGCTGCCAAGCCGAGCTTTCTTCTGACTCCGCTACTGCGGTCAGGGTCATCCTCCCACTTGGGCATGTACTTCGCTGGGACCCAGCGCCGAGAGATGATGGAGTCGCTTGTTCGATGCATCCAATCAGGGAGCCACTGGGGATCGTTCTTCGACGGCCTCCCTGCAGAATCCGCGTTGTAGTCCGCAATGCGCACGTCGCACGGGCCAATGGGGAGGACGTAATTCGGATGCATGACGCGTGTGCCCTCCACAAGGCCTCCGAACAGGGCGGGTCCAGCCCTGAGCACCACCCCCATCGGGCAGGTGTAGCTGGCTCCGCAACTGCGGCCAAATGCTTGGAGCTGCTCAGGCGGGATGTCAAACAGGCCGCACAAGAACCGCACATCATTTTTATGGATGGAAGCAACCGCGTCCTTGAAGAAACTTGGATGCCACGCTGTTTGTTCTGATTGCGTGATCTTCTGTTGGAGACGTTCGGTGACTGCGTGTCTGGACACGACGGCAAAACGGATCACCGCGGCAGGATTCATGTCGGAGCCCTTCAGGCGAAAGCGCAGGATCGTGACGGCGTGGGTGGCCCCAACAACATGACCCGCAACTGCGGTCTCTGCGATGATGCGCGGGCGCACGAGCACCACGCCCGTGTCTCTGAACAGGCCAACCGTCGTCCAGTAAGGCTCCGCGGTGTTGTTTTTCAAAGTGACAGCGTCTTCGACGGCAGTCCTGAGTCCAACGGGAACGTCGTAGCTGCAAGCGCCTTCGACGTTCCCCGTGCGGAACAGCTCGGGGTCCCATACGACGAAGACGACCGCCGCAGTTTGGTGCAAGATGCACCTGAAGACATCTTCCTTTGTTGCCACCTTCGTGATGACCACCACGTTGAACACCAAAGCGATGGTGGACGGAACCCGATTGCCGTCTGCTGTACGAAGGAATCCTTCGTTCCACTTGGGGCGTTCCCCAACGTAGTTTATCCCTGGAGGGGACCTGGTCCGCTGCTTCTTCCGCGGTGCTCCCGCATCTTCCCGCAACTGCGGTTCCGACGGAGGCCCCGCGCGACCCCGCGACTGCGGTTCTGACAGCGGCGAGCCTTCCGTGGGAGGCGGCCTTTTCCTCGGCCGCGAATCGGCCGAGGCGGTTGTCTCGGCGGCTTTCTCCTGGGAGGCGGCCTCGTCTTCGGGTTGGGCGCCTCGTTTGGACTCGGCTGCGAGCAGCACGGCCGAGGGCGCGCTGCTCCCAGATGAGCCGCGCGCGGCACCTGGCTCGCCGGCCACCCCCGCAACTGCGGTCTCGGTGGCGGCTCCCGTCACTGCTGGTTGGTCCTGCTGCTTCGTCGGCGTCTGCGCCCGAGGCCCCCATTTTGCCTTGGGGGTCAAGTGCGCCCTGCGCAACTGCGCCTCTTCGCGCCTCCCACCAGCAGAGCTCCCACTCGCAGCGCTTATCGGCGGCGGCGGCCGATATTCCCGCGAGGAGCTAGACGACTGCGGGGAGGCCTCGCGCGGCGGTCGCTCGGGGCTTCCGCAACTGCGGTCCTCCGTCGGCTCCGCGACTGCGGCATCCGCGGCAGCCCCTTGCAGGCCGAACCTTTCCCGCAGTTGCTGCTTCAGCTCGGCGAACCGCTTGTCGACCTCGGCTTTGCGACCTGGGTCCATGGCGTGGCCGCGCGCGGCCCCCGTCCGACGGGGGAACTGCGGCCGGCTTGGGAGAGGAAGGACAACGAGGGAGACGGCGGGGATGAGGACGAGGAAGGCGAAGAGGAGGATGGAGAGGACGCGACGGAAGAGGATGGCGCGAAGAGCTCAGACGAGGGTGAAAGGAGCAAGGGGACTGCGACGAGGATGACGGGGCAGAAACGGAGGAGGAGGAATCAACAAAGTCCGCAACTGCGGCCCTCGGGGGGGACTGCGACGAGGACGACGGGAAATGACTCGGCCAACGGAGGCGGGCTACGGCCAACGGAAGGAACTGCGACGAGGAGGAAAGGCGGAGGGAGGAGACTGCGACGAGGACGACGGGGAAGGGGCGACGAGGACGACGAACAACTGCGGATCCATCTGTTTAAGTACCTGTCTCCGCAACTGCGGCCGCGCTAATTAACGTCACGAGTGCTTCAACGGAGGCGATGCGCGCCCGAAGCACCTAATTACAGCGGTCAGTCGTGGGGGCGCCGCAACTGCGGCCAAGCTGTATGAAGTCGCTAGAAGGCAGCGCCGCAACTGCGGCCGAAAGCGCGCATAGTGAGTCAAACGAGCGCGGCGTCACGCGATCGGTCCCCGCAACTGCGGTTCCATGGCTGCGCAATCCCGCAACTGCGGTGTCAAGGCTGCGCGGACCACCGCGGTTGCAGCTGCGCCCCCTTGCTCGCGTCGAACCGCCCAGGATTCGGATGGGCGTGCAGCATCTTCCAGAACGTGAACGTTCCGTGGCCATCGCTCTTGCCGAGACCTGCCCTCGGGCCCCGCACGGGATGCGAGTGCGGCTCCACCTCATACGTGTTGAACTTCGGGCTAGACCAGGATGGGTGGACGCGAATGCCCGAGCCGTCGTCGCGGATGAGGACGAAATCCCACTGGGGCAGAGGGATTCTTTGCGCCTGTCCTCTGTCCACCCCTTTCGTGTGCCTCATGTTGTCGAGACTGCTAGGGCACGGGCGGCACTCGCAGCGGACCAACCCGCGACTGCGGTCATTGTCAGGGCCGCACACGACGCGCAGCATTGTAGGTCCATCCATCTGCGCGACCATCTCCAGCCAAGACCACGGCACTTTGACAGTGTGGTCCCAGTCCCAATCCCTGTTGTCCTGCGCCTTCCCCTTTGCGCGGTACTTAAGGATCTTCGAAATTTCCTCCGCAACTGCGGTACCTCCGAAGACGGGCGTGCGGCTGCCGAAAGGGTTTTCTCGGTCTTCGTACTCGTCTCGGAACCACTTCAAGGCCGCGTTGTGCTGCTTATAATTGCCGTTCCAGTTCGCCCTGAAGTTCTCGAAGAATTCCAACTTGAAAATTGGCAGCGGCTCATTGCGCACAATTTGAAACAGCGCAACTGCGCCTTGTTCTTCGCGCCCTGGGGGAAGCAGGGGACCGCCTCCTTTGCCCGCCGCTGTTGCGGCCGCGGGCTCCGCGGCAGGAGAACCTGCCGAGGCACTCGAGCGGCCACCTTCCCATGCATTCCACCAGCCACCCTCGTCGTCCCACCAGCGGGCGCCCTCCATTCCCCAACCCTCGCATCCGTTGCCGCCCCATCCGCCGCCCTCCCATCCGCGACTGCGGTCACTTCCGTCGCCGCCATCCTGCGCTTTTCCTCTCCATCCGCCAAGAGAATCTCCGCCGCCCCAGCCGCCACTGCGGTCACCTCCGCCGCCGTATCCGCCACTGCGGCCGCCCCAACCCCCACTTGTTCCCCAACCGCCGCCGCTGCTCTTTGAAGAATCCGCAACTGCGGCCCGTGTTTCCTCTTCCGCTTTGTCATCCCACCCTGCACGCATCTCTGCCCCGACTGCAGGCCGCGGAGGCGGGCGCGAGCCCGCCCAACCGCCGTGAAACCTACCGTCGGCGCGGGCTTGAGCCGAACGTGCATGGAGGAGGAGGATGAGGAGGAGGAGGGTGAATGTGAGGAGGATGATGCGTTCCTGGGAGGTGTGCCTTCGCGTGCAACACAAGAGCCCTGAGAATTCCTGAGGCCCCTCCAACAGCCAAGGACGCGGATGACAAGAAAGTCGAGAAGATTGGGAACCGATTGAGGATTAAGAGGCGTGCGACGAAAGGGATGATGATGACGAAGAGGAAGATCAGTGAAGGGGAGGAGCGGACAGGAATTATGGAGGAGTGATAGCAGAGGAGGAAGAGGGGGAAGGGGGAGGAGGAGGAGGAGGAGGAGGAGGGAGAGGAAAAGGGGGAGGAGGAGGAGGAGGAAGAAGGGAGGAGGAGGAGGAGGAGGAGGAGGAGGAGGAGGAAGGAGGAGGAGGAGGAGGAGGAGGAGGAAGAGGAGGAGGACGACGACGACGAGGAGGAGGAGGAGGAGGAGAGGGAGAAGGAGAACGGGGACAGGAGGACAAGGACGGAGAAATATAACAAATGAGGGGGAGGAGGCGGAGGAGGAGGAGGACGAGGAGGAGAAGCAGGAAGAGGAGGAGGAGAGGGGGGAGGAAGAGTGCGCGTGAGACTGGGAGAACGAGGTAATTAATTAGAGAGGGAACGGGGGAGGAGGGAGGACAAGGAAGAGCATACAGCGACGAGAAGAGGAGAAGGAACAGACGAAGGCTCCTGCTGATCGCATTTCCGCATCGTTCAAAGCAGTGCCGGGGCACTGCTTTGAACGACTGGTGATGTTCAAAGCAGTTCCCCGGCACTGTGTTCCATCGTCGCCGTTATAAGGGCTTTCGGATTAGCACCCCGGCGGCGCGGCGCAGTCGGCGGCGCGCGAGGGGGTGGAAACGAGAAGGCGAAGGCCTTCTCAGAGGGCGGCGGGACTTCTCGGAAGCCCTCGCGCCTTCCGAGAGGGTTTTTTGTTGCGTCTTCAGGGGAGGTTTGGAAAGCTTCTCAGAAGGCCTGGGGACTTCCGAGCCTTCTGAGAAGGCCCGCCCCTTCTCGTCTCCCCCCCTCGCTCGCCGCCGACACATGAACAGAATTGGGAACTTGGAAAAGTGCCAGCGCTCTCGACTGCTCTCGACTCGGGAGGGGAGCAGACTCGGGGGGGGGGGGGCGGGAGGGACGGGGAGGAGGGGAGGGGAAGGGGGGGAAGGGGGGGGGGAGGGAGGGGGGGCTTTGCCCCCCTCCCCACCACCCCTCCCTCGCGGGGCACAGCAGAACACTCCCCCGCCCCCCCCCCTTCCCTCGAAAGGCCCCCCCCCCCTCGCGGCGGCGAGGTCTGGACGCTCGGACACCGGCGGCCCTCACGAGCCTCCACGAGGCTCATGACGCCCATCCAGCCCATCAGCCCGCTCAGCATGGAGCCCGCGCCGCCTGCGGAGAGTCGAGACGCCGTCGTCGTCGTTGATCGGCTCGGGGATATCCGGCTTCGAGGGTCCCTGCTCGGGGGCCTCTCTGCGCCCCGTTGGGGCCCTCGCGTCGGCACCTCTCCCCGGGCCATGTCGGCGCAGCTGCGTCGGCGTCGAAGTTCCGGCCAGAGCGTATCCCCCAGGACATGCCCCCAGGTTGTCGCCGTCGTTGCTCCACGAGGTTCGGACGTTCTCGGCCAGCAAGGTAGGTAGAAAGAAAGAGAGGGAAACAGGCAGGCAGGCAGGCAGGCAGGCGGACGGGCGGACGGACGGACGGACGGACAGTCGAGCAGAAAGGGAGAGAGAGGGAGAGAGAGAGAGAGAGAGAGAGAGATAGAGAAAACAATAACTTGTAAGGGAGAGGCTCAGGTCGGAAAGGGGAGAGGGAGAGGCAGAAGGATAGAGAGACACGAGGAGACTGAGGCGAAGAGGGGGACGAGAGGGACCGAGATCATCACTCAGCCGATCGCGGAACACAACCAAGCATACGCGCAATGCTCGCACGGCGCCGCGGCAGTCTTGCGCCCACGCTGCGGTCGACCGAGGCGCGCTCTGCCACGAGACCGCGAGAGGCTCCACACCTCGGGCACGCTGCACAGCGTGCTCACGACGAGTGCGCATGCTGCATGTCCCCGCCGCCGACGCCGCCGACGCCGCCGCCGCCGACGCCGTCGTGGCTGTCGGCGCCGCCCTCGTGAACGCCGACGAGGGCGGTGCGCCTGCACGCGCCCAGCGGGGCCTCCCGAGAACTCCGACGCCGTGCCCCTGCGCAGCGCGGACGGTCCTGGGGACCCGCGTGGGGCCCCCCCTGGGGGCCCCCCGTGGGGCCCCCCGCCGTGGTCGCTCCGCGGCAGGAGGAGACGGGGCCTCTGCCCCACCCCGCGGCGCCGACGAAACCGCCCTCGTGCGGAGCTGGGGCGCCCCCGGCCCCCTCTCGGGCCGCGGGCCGCCCTCCTGCGGCGCCGACAGAAAAGCTCACATCGACGAGCGCCACCGCGAGGCCGCCCGGCGACCAGCCGCTGCGGCCCGACGATGCCTCGTGGTGGCGCGGCACGGAGGACCGAGGCGGCCCCCCTGCGCAGCAGGAAGGAACAGGTGCTGGACCCCGGGGCCTTCCCCCAGGGAAACTTCTTCATCCTGAGTCGTTTTATGGCAGTCCGAGGGCCCGTGGAGGGCCCCAGGAAGCCAAGAACGGTGGAAAAAAGCCCTTCCCGTTTCCTTCATGGCGACCCTCCCCGGCTCTCAGCCCCCTGGTGGCAGCCGTCCTGCTCGTTCGCCCCAGTTGCCCGCAGCGCCCACGCGCCCGCGGGCCGCTCCTCGCCCGCGACCATCTGTGGTCGCCCGGGGCTGCAGACCCCCCCCCCCTCCGCAGCCACTCCTGCCCGAGCCGTCCCCCTGGCCCGCAGCCGCCCAATGGCCCGCAGCCCAGCCTGGCCGCCGCCGTGGCCCGCGGGAGCCCGCCCGGCCCGAGCGAGCGTTCTCCCCGCCAGGTGCCCGCCGACGCCGGCGGAGCACCGGTGGCGTCAGCGGAAGCGGGAGCTCGGGGGGCAAACTGGCCCTGCCTGCCTGCCTCCCTGGAGGGCGCGCGTCCGAAGGGAAGGCACGGTACAGACATCATGTCGTAATGTCATGCTGCTGCGGCATGGTCCCATCACGCCCGCCACGATGATGTTACGACCGAATGGTTCAGTGTGCGCGTCGCCCCTGCGCAAAAGCGACCCCCACACGCGTAGTGCAAGTATGTGTGAGCCCAACCGTTGAAACCTGGCTGAAACTCCAGGCCTCCGGGGGAGTCTCGTTTTTACCTGGCTGCCTTTCACTGGCATTATGCCTCTGAGGGGTTGTTTTCGGGCCCCAGGGCAAACAGATGCACTCGGGGCGAGGAGACTCCCCCAGTGAAGCGCCTTCGCTCGGAAAGTCTAAACGGCCGCGCGACCATCATGTACACATACATATGCAGACATGCAGATACGCGTATCCACAACTTGGCATACACAAACCGATATATATATATATGTATGTATGTATGTATGTATGTATGTATGTATGTATGTATGCATGTATGCATGTATGCATGTATGCATGTATGCATGTATGCATGTATGCCTGTATGCATGTATGCATGTATGCATGTATGCATGTATGCATGTATGCATGTATGTATGTGTGGATGTATGCATGTATGTATGTATGTATGTATGTATGTATGTATGTATGTATGTATGTAAGTATGTAAGTATGTAAGTATGCAAGTATGTATGTATGTATGTATGTATGTATGTATGTACATGCGTACGTACGTGCACAGGCGTAGCCAGCTCTCGTAGCCCAGGCTGGCCACACCGTGTGTCTCCAGCTTGCTGGCACGGGGCTCCTCCTCCTCCTCCTCCTCCTCCTCCTCCTCCTCCACCTCCTCCTCCTCCTCCTCCTCCTGCTCCTCCTCCTCCTCATCATCATCATCATCCTCCTCCTCCTCCTCCTCCTCCTCCTCCTCCTCCTCCTCCTCCTCCCGAGGTGCGGGGGCGGGGACACCCGCTGCAGGCCCGGGCCACCAACGCCCTGCACGACTCTCCGGAGGGAGGCGCGCCGCCTCGCTCGGCCTCCAGAAGAGGCCGCTCTCGGGCTCCGGGGCAGGCGCTCCCGGGCGCGAGCTCCGGGGCCTCGACTAATTACCGACCGTGGACCAGGACACCTAGGGAGTCCACAAAGGACGTACGCGCCCAGCTATGTACATGAACACGGCCCCTCGATCCGCGAGACCGGCCGCGTTATACGAACATTTGCGCAATGCGTACTCTCGAAACCAGCGTGGATTCATGTACATGTACGTCGTTCTTTCGCTCCCGCCGACACCTGAGGCCCGAAATCTGGAAGGAGGCGAGCAAAAAGCGTTGGGATGCCTGCAGGGCTGGGGGGAGGACTCCGGCGCCCTGCCGTGCTGCAGGCGCGGCTCCCGCAACTCCCGACCCTTTCCCTCAGGCCAGCTCTTTGCCCTGAGTCGCTTCTGGACGGTCCTGCAGGGTCCAGTGGGGGCCCCCGGCGGCCGCACATGGCGAGTAACTTCTGTGCCGCTTTTGCGACACCGGTCTGGGCTTCGAAGCAGAACAACGAGGAGCGGGAAGAGGCACGTGCTACCATCTCGGGGCAGGCGGCGCCTCCACCGACCAGGGCGAAGAAGACGGTGTAGATGGCCCAACCGATCACGAGCAGGCCACAGGGTACCTCTGGGGCGCGCGGAATTGTGGCTCCCGTCGGGCTCCTCTGGAGATGGACTCATCCCCAGAGTCATCGTGCACCTGTCTATCGATCCGCCGCCCTGCCCCCCTGGCCCGTTGAGGCGTGGTGGAAGGCCAAGGGCTGCCTGGCGGGGTGTTTGTCCGCTTCTCGGCTCCCTCTGCCCTCTCTTTCGGCCGCGTCCTCCGCCTCCCCCCTCCTGCATGGTGGCACAATTCGCTTCCACGGCACCCCCGTTCAGGCCTTTCCGCTAGCGCAGACGACCCCTGCCTGGCCGCCGACGCAAAAACTGTCCGCTTCTCATTATCAGGGGCCCCTTTTCCGCGTAAGTTTTGCAACAAGGTCTGCGGGCCCCTTCTGCCGCCATCTGATTCACGCCCAGCTTCCTTTCGCAAAGTTATATTCGTACACCGCCCGCACCATCCCGAGGCCACGATCCGTTCTGTGAAACTCTCACAGCGTTTACGCATCCGCTGACTTTTGGAAACTCAGTGGGTGCGCGCTTCCGAGGCAACGATCCACAGTAAAAAAACTACGGATTCGCGCTCCCGAAGCCTGATCGAGAATCTGCGCCCAGGAGGCATCAATGTGCTGTAAAACATGGGTCCTCGCGCGCGAGCTTCCAAGACGGTCAAGGCAAGTAACCAAGGCCTCCAAGATGGCGCAAAATGCCTGGCCCCAAGGCGGCCTCAAAACAGCCAAAGAGGCACCCAAGACTGCTGCAGAGGGCCACAAGAGAACACCCAGTAGAATATGTATGGACCGAAGAAGCAGTATGTCCCTGAGCTTTTGTTGCGAATTGGGCGTCTTCACTTTTGTGACTTCTTTGGCTCTAGACAGCTCTAAAGGCCTCCAGCATGGCTTCAAGGCGGCCCGAGAGAGCCCTAGGTGGCCAAATAATCCTCCAAAACAGCTTCAAGACAGCATAGAGAGCCACTGGACCCCTAGACTGCACAGGACGACCAAAAAAGGAGCCACAAGCTGGCCCAAGAGAGCCTGCCGAGGGACCCGAGACGGCCTTAGAAAGCCCCTCGACGGCACAAGATGGCCCAAAAATTGCCACACGAAGGCCGCAGGGGGCCCCGAAGCCGGTCGAGAGGCCCCAGGACTGCCCTGGGAAGCCCCACGACGGCCCCAACTCGCTCAACGGAGCCCAAGACTGCCCCACAGGAGCCGAAGAAAGGACAAGAGAAAAAAGGAACCACGACGACGAGGAGAGGAAAACCCCCGACACGACGCGGATGAGCGTGCCACATGTTACGGCTCTCCCAAGCTGAAGTGTCACGCGCGACTGCCTCCCATGCCCTCCCGCAGTCGCCACTCGGGATGCTGGGCTGACGCGGCGGCGGAACTTGCCGCAGGCAGCTGCTTAACATCGGGGCAAGGAAACGACGCAGCCCCTGCGTGGAGAAGAGAGGGAAGGGAAGCGCAGCGGGAGCAGCAGGCGTCGCCAACAGCAATGCCATCCACGACCCCAGAGGCCAAAGCCCCAACGAGCGGGGCCTGGCCGCGGCGACGAGCACCCACCAAGCAACGATGCGACCCTCGCACCTCCTCCTCCTCCTCCACACAGAGCTGCGTGGGCGTCCGCGTTCGCAAAACCGTGCGGACTTCTGGGGTCCGCGCCGGACCCCCCCCCGCCCCGGAACTCCGCGCAGAGCTGACCTCTGCGCGGAGGAGGGGGAGGAGGAGGAGGAGGAGGAGGAGGAGGAGGAGGAGGAGGAGGAGGAGGAGAAGGAGGAGGAGCTCAGCTCCAGAGGAAGCCACGCGCCAGAGGTCCTTCCAGCGAAGGGTCGCTTCCACACGCCGACGGCATGGCGCACGTAGCGCAGCTCGGGTCTCCAGCGGCCGTTGGGGCCGATCTGGGCACCCCAGGAGGAGGAGGAGGGGGAGGAGGAGGAGGAGGAGGAGGAGGAGGAGGAGGAGGAGGAGGAGGAGGAGGAGGAGGAGGAGGAGGGGGAGGAGGAGGAGACCCCGACTCTTCGATGACGACCACGGCCACGGCCACGGCCACGACCACGACCACGACCACGACCACGACCACGACCACGACGACGACGACGACGACGACGGGCTGGCCCCTCGGGGGCACCGATGTGCAGATCAGCACCAGCGCGGCGCTGCGCGGCGACACTCCACAGAAGAACATGAGGCTGGTGACCTGCTGTCGTCGTCTCAGGGGCTCAGAGAAATCGAGGACGAGCGAGCAGGATCAAGGAGCGAGGAGGATCGAGGACCGACGAGGATCGAGAAGGAGGAGGATCGAGGACCGAGGAGGACCAAGCTGGAGATCGATGATCGAGAAGGATCGAAAAGGAGGATCAACGATTAGCACCGTTGGGATCGAGGATCGAGGAGAAGGATCAAGGATCGACACCATTGAGATCGAGGTGGAGGATCGAGGATAGAGGACTAGCACCGTCGAGATCGAGGAGGAGGGTGGAGGATGGAGGATCGAGAAGGAAGACTCAGGACTGGTCACACTTGAAATTAGCATCGGTGCCACGTCATATAGCGCATGATCGCGAATGCACCGTCACAGGATAAGGTGTAGACAAAGGTATCGAGCTGGATCGAGGTGACCTGTCGTCGACATTCATCGTCGTTCGTCATGTTGGTCGTCGTCTTGACCACTTTCGGGCCCTTCTAAGTTGTTGTCCCCTCTGGGTCTCCAGTATGCAGCAGAAGCCCTGTGAGGCCTTCCAGCGAAACCGAAAACTCGCCGAACCCGAATGAGCTGAAGATGCGGAGGAGGACGCAACGGGGCGGCAACGGCACAACACCCGATCGAATGCAACCGACTGGGAGGCAGCCGAATCGACCGAGCCGTGTACACTGTTCGCTCTCTTTCTCTCTCTCTCTCTCTCCTTCTCTCTCTCTCAGTCTCTTTGTTTGCTTATTTCTTCTTCTTTTTTTTCTCTCTCTCTCTCTCTCAATGTTTGTTCTCTCTCTCTCTCTCTCTATGTCTACCTCTCTATCTCTCCAGCCGTTCCGGGGCCCAGGTCTGGGCCTTTGCTAACGCTAACTTCGGAACGGTCTGCGTTAGCGAGCCAATTGACTGGCGGCGCTGTCTCTCACGGCCCCCCGGAGCCCGGGCTGCAGCCTCCTTGGCGCGGCTGTCGGCGCGGTTGGCGCAAGGCCCCGAAGGAGAAGGGCTACCGCAACACCGATAAGACGTACACGGCATGCACTTGCGGCCATTGGACGTGGGTCCACGTGCTCGCGAAGCGTGCCTGGCGGTGCGTGCGCTGCGGCGCGCAGCTTGTGCCCCCTCCTCTGGCTGATGTGGATCATGGCCCGGGCATCGCAAGCCGGGTGCTACAGACCTCTCCTCGCAGGCGGTGGCCCACATTCGCGGGATGGCTTCGAAGCTCCCGGATGAAGCAGCGAGGGGGGCATTGACCCCATATGGCTTGGCGCTGCATGTCACTGCCAGGCAGCTGGAGCTGCCGGAGAGCGGACACCTGCGGGCGGGGTCTGCCAAGCGCGAAGCGAAGCGGCAGGTCGATGAGACCGTGGACGCCCGCAAGCGCCTGGAGCAGCAGATCGAAGACGCCGACGAGAGGTTGGCCGACACCGTGGCGGCCGAGGTGCAGGCGAGCGAGGTGGTGACAGCTGCTGCTAGGCGTACCTCTGCTCGCGCTCTGCCGCCCAAGTCCGTGGTCCACATTGACGCGCCGCTGTGGGACGGCGGGAAGGCCATCGCCGTGGAGCTCGGCGAGGAACTGGGCCTCGCTGGACACGGACTCTCCTGGGAGGGCCGCAGCAACGTCGCGCTGTTCAAGCACGACATGCTGGATGAGGCATCCAAGCTCATCACCGACTCCCCAGCTGGGATCGCGGACAAGGCGAAGGAGCACAAGGAGGAGCACGCGCACCGCGTCGGCGACCTCAACGAGCAGCTCAAGAACAACGACGGCGACCCTCGTGCGGTGCGTCTTTTGGTGCCAGCGGGGGCGCGGGGGCCGCTCCGTCCGGCGCCCCGGGAGGCACCCGAGGATACCGACCGTGCAACGTGCAAGGCCGCAGCGCAGGCACGCGCTGCTGCCCGCGGGGCTGCTGCCGTGGCCGCCCTGGCCGCACAGTCTGCCGCGCCCTCGTCCTGGCGCGGCCTGCTCCCCTCTCTCCTGCCTGCCCTCTCCTGCGGACCCTCTGCCGTTCAAAACTCTGGCCCCAAGGCCGCGAAGGATCGTTGCCAGCAGCTCCCCCTGGGGACCTTCGGCACAACGCTGGTTGGCAAAGACCTCGGCAGACCCAGTGTTGATTTCGAGGCATCAGCAGATCGGTGGCGATTCCGCTTCGACGGTCAAGGTTTTGCACCTGTCGGGATGGAGGGTAGTAGCGAATCCAGCCGACGCCACATCAGCGCTGTCAGGTAGCGCTGGAATTTTGATTACTAGCCGCTCTCATTTGCCACTGAGCAACCTTGCCAAAATGCACGAAGAATGGACGGATGCCAGCTGCTCCCGCTACATTGCGATTGAGGGGGTTGAACGTCACTACTGTTTCTGTGTGCCTGCACGCTTGCAAGGGCCTCCAGGGTCTTGATATCTCTCATCTCTCCGAGCTCGGCACTCTCAGATCGAGAGCGGGTGCGTTCGTCATCGTGGCAGGCGATTGGAACATGCGGCCAGAATTTCCAGGCGGATCCGGATTCTTGGCCAAGTCTGGTTTGGCAATTGCTACCGCCGAATGTTTTCGCCACGTGTTTTGGCTCAGGTACTCTCAGCCACATTGACTTCTGTTGCGTGGGCAAAAGTTTCTTGGATGCGATTGAACTTGACGGCATCGACTCCCCAGCCCCGCGGGGAAGACATTGCGCATTGAGCTTCCGCATGTGTGCCTCTTCGCACCAGCTTGAGGTGCCGAAGACAATGCAGCCAAAAGCTCTTGCTATGAAAGGTGGTGTGGGTCCCACGATGCCCTCGGTGAGTGCCGTCGCTAAGGCGACGCTGATGTTCCATACCATTGAGCGTTTCATGGATCCAGCTCGAGCGCCTGGCATGAATCAATTAACATCCATCTTGTGCCTCTGCAGCCTTAGGCCTTCGGGTTGGGACATGAATTGTCTGAGCGGTGGATTGCGATTCAATTTGAAGTTTGCTACGGCCCCGGGGCTGGGAGCCAGGATGGCCAGCGCTGCCCCTGTTCCGCGTGCTTCGGGGCGACCTTGGCTCCGAGAGGCCGCGTCGCGCTCCGCGGGCCCAGCACGCCGTCTCCTCGAAGAGGGCGTGGCCCCTGTCGTTGGTGACCATGCGTCGGCTGCTCAGTTGCACTCCAACGTGGAGACGTTGCTTGACGTCGAGGCATCGACTTGGTCACCTGTTTGGCGGTAGCCTTCTGAGAGTGAAGCTCGCAATATCTTGGCTCGCCTCGAGCCAATCACCCGCCCGTGCCATGTTGGAAGAGGCACTCAAGGCAATCCTGATGGAAGGGGCCGCGGTAGTGACTATTTCCATCCCCTGTTGCTCAAGGAGGCCAGCGTCGATGCTAAGAAGGCCTTTTGGTGTCATCTGCTCGCGGCCGTTGAGGAAGAAGCCAATCTTCCCATGCCTTTTCTCGTCGGGATGCTCATGACGGTGCTCCTGCACGACGCAAAGAACAGCCTCGGCGACCTGGCAAGGCCGGTGGACGAGGTGGTCTACGCGGACGGCTCGCTCATCGTCGCCAGCGCGCCCGGACACGCTGAGCAGCACGTGCGGGCAGTGGAACAAAAAGCGGGCGCGAACTACGGCCTCATCTTCAATTGGGGGAAGCTCGGACTCCTGGCCGTGGGATGCAGCAGTGCTATTCGCAGGTTGGACGGGGCTGCCATCCCCCAGAAAGCAGGCATCACGCACAACGGCCCCGTGCTCTCCACAGACGGGACGGTGCAGGCTGCATCGGGCTGGCGCCTCGGGCAGGCGCGGGCAGAGTTCGAACTTCTACGCCGCGTCTGGAACCGCAGCAGCATCCCCATGCATAGAAGTATACACGTCTACCAGGCGTGCGTACAGACGAAGTTGCTGCACGGCTTGCACGCGGCAGCGTTTAAGCAGGACGAGCTAGCACGCACCGACGCCTTCCAAGCAAGGTGCCTGCGAAAAACCCTCGGGATCCCGAATGCCTACGTCATTCGAGTGTAGAATGCGGATGTGCTGGCACGCGCGCGCAGGATGAAACTTAGCAGTTTTCTTCTGCAGCGGCAACTCACATACTTTCTCAATATTGCAACCCTCCTCCATCGACCTCCGCCCCCCTCCGGCAAGCGGAGTGGAGGCCGACAACGACAGACGTGGCCTGCAGAGTTGTACAGAGTTGCACGAGATGTATGTGCCGCTGTTCAAGCTTCAGCTGACAACGTGTGCACAATCCCAGTTCGAGACTGGAAGCAAGCACTGCGTTCTTGTTGCTTGGCGCGGCAAGTGCGCCATATTGCTCATACTCCTTTTGACACCCGGCTTTGGCTGACTGACTGACCGAATGACTGGCTGACAAGGGGGGCGGCCCCCAGCTACGTTTCCTTGTTGCGGATCCGAAGGCCGTGCGTGCAAGCCTGGGACGGCGCACAATCACGGTCCAGTGGACAAAACGGTAGGGAGCTCAACCGAGGCAGCCGGCAGGTTGCACGAGTTGGAGTCTGAACTTGCAGTGCATCAGGGTTTCCACGTCGCGGGCCTGTTGCTGGATCTTCGAAAATTTCACGACTCCGAGAGTTTGGCCGATCTTGTTTGTGGACGCGGCATTTGAACTTGATTGTCCGCTGAGGCTTCTGGCACTCGCCCCCGATTCACATCTTGGAGTGCGAATGTTGACGCTTTCAGGTTGCATACACAAGGGCGTCCTACCGAGCAGAGGCATTATTCCAAGTTGTGGCCAGGGTGTCATTGGCCAGGGCCTTGTTGTTTGCTGCTCTCGATACTGCAACCAAGTCCGTGTCTGGTCAAGCTTTACAGAAATGGGTTGATAATCTATCTTGTCGCTTGTACGGCACGCATGTTTCTCTGGTTGTCACTTGACCTGTTCTGCTCAAGACTCTTCCGTCTGCCCTTCGCAGGCGTAAGGTCCAATTCTCCCCTGATACATGCGGGGTGTTGGCCTCGTCCACGAGCCTCCGTCGCGACCAGGTCTCGTTGGCACGACAGCAAAGCCGCGGTGAGATAAAAGGTC